CAAGGAGTGAAACTGACACCGAGGTAACGGATCGCTTCGTCTGGGTCCACATAATTGACTTCCTGATCTTTGATCTTAAGCTTGGGGTCCACGATAGCCCAAGTTTTATGTAGCGGTTTAACCGTGAACGCGCTACACTTGGCTATCGAGAGGTTCATGCCTAGGGCGCTGAAATATTCAGACACAAGTTCGATGTCCTCTACGGCGTCCCCTTCAGATTTACTGATAAGAATCAGATCATCCGCGAACGCCAGGACCGACACATTGCGTCCTCCTAGGACAATTCCCTTTCCTTCCCGCTGATCGAGGTATGTCAATAATGGGTCGACGACTGCGTTCCAAAGAAGTGGGCTAAGAGGATCGCCTTGCTTCACGCCTCTCTTCAGACTGATCTTTATTTCTTCGGTCGTAGATGGTAAGACCGTCTGACAATCCTGGTATACGTAATCGACGTATTCAGCGATATAAGGGGCCACTCCAAGCCTTCTGAGCGCCGGTACTAATGCACCATGTGGCACTGTGTCGAAGGCTTTGGAAATGTCAAGTATGGAACAAGTTCCACCTTGTTCCTCCTTCATCGCTTTCAACGTTTGGCGAAAGAGGGAGACGTTCTGAGCCGCTCCCTCGTCATGCGTGAATCCTTTTGTGCTCGGCTTAGCTCGATGTTTCCCCTAAGAGATTCATCGATCACCCCCGAGAACAGTCTGGCTAGGATTGAGCTGACAGTAATCGGCCGCCAGCTGGCTGCCACTGTCAGATCCTTGCCATCTTTTGGGATCAGCGTTGTTCTGTTACGTTTCCAGGATTCGGGGTAAAACCCAATCCCCAAGCAGATATTAAAGATCGCAGTCAGAAGAATGCGCGCTGTTCGGCGTATGTCCTTCTTAGCCACTTTGTCTGGCCCCGCAGCAGTGTGCGTTTTTCAGGCGTCGGTATCTTTTTTCTACCGTTCCGAGCTGTATCGGGTTAATATCGACGACGCCCACCCTTGTAGCTACGGTCTCTTCCCAATCAGGTGGAAGAATGTGGTTTCTTCAACGCCCCAGAGTCCGTTATATAGGTCTCTTACCTGATCACCCGGAGGTAGTTCAGGTTGGCGGCGTTGTTCGATATCTGAGAGCCGATCCTCCACTACTAGCGTAGCTAGTTGTTTCGGTTCTTTCTCCCAGAGTTGTTGTACCGTAGCATACTCGTGTTGGCGTCTTTTGTCTCTACTTCCCCTAGCTCTGTGGTTAGCGTTTGCGGCCTTACCTCTCTGGCCGTTTCGGGGCAGATTGGGTTTGCCTCCCGCTAACTCGACGGTGAGTTCGTTGACGACGTTTTCGAGTTGTTTTACGAGTGGGTCAGATACGCTTATGACATCTTCAGCAGATCGAAAGCTCCCCGCAATTGCAGTTAACCTGACTGCCAAAGGCTGTATTTTAGCGTCCTTCGCCATCTCGTCATGGTGTTTGGCAAGTGTTCTGGTCGCCGAAGCTATCATACACTGCCTCCATCTCTTCTCTTCGTCGTCATACGATTTCTGTACTTTCACCTGAGGCTTCAAGATCTTATTTATTGGCGATTCTTTTTGCAGCTTTATTGTCTGATTCCCAAGTGAGCGGGGTACTGCTCTGTCGCTCGTTCGAGACGCTGGCCCGTTCGCCGGTTCAATCAGGCCGAGCAGACGACGCTTGTCGCTGATCTGCCTTTGTGTTTTCCCCGGGAACTGCGACATCAAGAGCTTGTTAATGTGTCTTTGTCCCGCATACTCTTGGTTTAGTTGGCGCAGTTTCTGCTCCTCTTCCTCTGACCAAATCTTTGACCTGACGCCAGCATTCGTCTTCCTGGGAGCGGCTGCGTCAGCTAACCGCTTCTGGTTTCTGATTGCTGGGTGAGCATGCCGTTCATGCATCGATAGGCCAACTTTGGTAGGGAATGATGAGGAGCAGGCTTCGCACGTATAACCAGTTTCTGCGGGACGACCTAGTGGTCGGCATGATCGAATATGGTTCGAAATTCCCGATGTGGTCGTGCTCTTTCTGTCACAGTGCGGACATTCCCAGTACGTTGTTACTTCTGGGTGCGTCTCTGTTACGTGCGTTTTAGCGTCTTTCGCGCTTAGGAAGGACTGCATAACCCTCCCTGCGCGAGCGCATAGCGAGCAATTGTACCTCTCCGCAGGGTGCTTAAATGTGATAGTAGTTAGTGCGGCCTCGCATGGGTCTCCGGAGCCCGAGTCGGTGGGAGACTCAGAGTTTCCAGGAGAACTGCGTTCCGGCCCCTCGGTGGTCTGCCTGACTGTCTCAACTCCACTAGCAATTGTACGTGAAGTCGAGCACTGATAGCGAGAATCTGAACCCACTTCGAGAGCTTCACCAATCATTGTTGAATCGTCTCCAAATACGTTTCGAGCTTCGTCGCTTTCTGCACTCCAACTCGCTCCGTACGCGCTGCTGCCACCACCAATCCGAACGGCAGTTTTTTGGTCAGGTGGTAATCCCGTACAGCGCTTATCCATTGCATATTTCGTTTTCCCGAGACAATCATCCACTCACAGGGTCGGGACGCCCCGCGAGGCTTTCAGGTCGCGCTCTACTGACCTGCCCTTTGAGGACCTTTGACATGGGTGCGCTGGTGTGGTGTGTTCTAGTCCTTAGCGTCTTATGATATAGCAAGTAGCTACCGACGTGCGGGTAGTACCAGCGCCACCCAGCTGCTATTTCAAATCTTGTCCTAATCGCGATCCTTAGGGGATGCGATATCGTCGGACGGCGGATACAGACCGGTAAGGTGTATTCCGCTCGTTCAAATTTTGGTAAAGTTACCGGTCTTCTGGTAGCGAACCCTTTATAGAGCAACCGCACTTGCCCATATTGGTCGGTCCGGTTCGCTTGCAGACACTGTTTCCCAGATCTTACCGACCAAGAGTCTGGTGGTCCGCGGTCTAGTGAGCTGTCGAGGCATCCTCCTTCCAGGTTTATTACCTGGATGTATAGGATTCAACCTGCAGCAGACCTGTGCGGGTTGTTGTTCAATTCAAGGCCCCCCCTATACTGAGTGTTCTTAGTATTTAAGGGAAGCCTTCTTCCTTGTCTGAAATTTTTGCAGCCAAAAAAGGCCCCTGGACACTACTAGAGTGACCAAGAGGTCCATATTTTGGTGTTATTTCCGACAAGTGTGGTTTGCCTTCTTTATCTTGTGGGATCCTCTAGGAGAGGTAAACCAATAAGGCCGGTATTCTTAGGGACCCAGTCGACTCAACTTGTTCTTTGTCCTCTCCTAGGCGGAGGTGACGAACACGTTTTGTCGTTTTAATCCGGTTTACCCTTGATACCTGGACCCTCTATGGTTGTTTGGTATTGTGCTTTACATCCATATTTGTTTGAAGCCTTTTAGCTGGTCAAACGAGTTCGTTTGTTCTTAGACGATACATCGCTTGTTGGTATCTCACCGACGATTTACCGTAGCAAGTTGGATACGAGTCAATCAGAGCCGACACTGATATCTCGCCCTGCTCGATAAATCTCCCCATGTTAGCAACTTTGGTTTTCTCTAGCTAATAAGACCAGAGCATACTCAAAGAGGCTTCTGAGGATCTGGCCTTTGCCCGTAAGGATCCCATTCGCATCTCTCTTGCTCTGATCGAAAAACGATAGTTCTACGTTTCGGTATAAAGACAACAACTGTCGTCGTCGTCGTATTCTCACTCGGAATGAGGAGAGATGTCGCATATGTGAAAAAATATTACGAAGAGCGAGCTGAAGATCGTCTTTCGTATATTATACACGTTCGATCGCATTTGGACCGCTTAACGGCTGTGCGCTAGCTAAATCCGCGATCTCGCTGTGGAACGAGAGTCATAGTTACTCCCGCCGTTTACCCGCGCTTGCTTGAATTTCTTCACGTTGACATTCAGAGCACTGGGCAGAAATCACATTGAGTCAACACCCGCAGGGGCCATCTCAATGCTTTGTTTTAATTAGACAGTCGGATTCCCCCGGTCCGTGCCAGTTCTGAGCTGACCGTTGAATGGCGGCCGAAGAGGACACCAGAACGCCCTTGCGAGCGCACTCTGGGCCTCGCAGCAAGACGGTTCCGCGGGAGGCCAAGGCACGGTACCGAGTTCGGATCCGCAATCCTACCGCACACGCGCGAACGCATACGACAGAACGTTTCACCTCGCCCAGGCCCGGCACGTCAGCCGCGACCCGCTTCCTCGCCAAGCCCGACACGCCCCGATCCTCAGAGCCAATCCTTATCCCGAAGTTACGGATCCAATTTGCCGACTTCCCTTACCTACATTATTCTATCGACTAGAGGCTCTTCACCTTGGAGACCTGCTGCGGATATGGGTACGAACCGGCGCGACACCTCCACGTGGCCCTCTCCCGAATTTTCAAGGTCCGAGGGGAAGACCAGGACACCGCTGCAACTGCGGTGCTCTTCGCATTCCAAACCATATCTCCCTGCTAGAGGATTCCATGGAACTCGAATGCTTATGCAGAAAAGAAAACTCTTCCCTGGTCTCCCGACGGCGTCTTCGGGTCTTTTTGGGTTACCCCGACGAACTCTCTTGCGAGGGCCCGACTATTGTACGGTTCCGCTGCCGGGTTTCGGAATAGGAACCGAATTCCCTTTCGCCCGACGGGCGTGTTCTTTATATATACACACATACATACATATATTTATAAAACAACGCCACATCAACATCGGCTTTCGCCTAGGGCTTAGGATCGACTGACTCGTGTGCAACGGCTGTTCACACGAAACCCTTCTCCACGTCAGTCCTCCAGGGCCTCGCTGGAGTATTTGCTACTACCACCAAGATCTGCACCGACGGCGGCTCCAGACGGCCTCACGGCCAGCCCTTCTGCGCGCACCGCCGCGACCCTCCTACTCGTCAGAGCTTCATGGCCGATCCGTTTTTACGCGGATCGAGACCGCACATGCCGCTGACGGCCGAGTATAAGCACGACGCTTCAGCGCCATCCATTTTCAGGGCTAGTAACTTCGGCAGGTGAGTTGTTACACACTCCTTGGCGGATTCCGACTTCCATGGCCACCGTCCTGCTGTCTTAAGTTACCAACGCCTTTCATGGTATCCCATAAGCGTCGATTTAGGCGCTTTAACTCGACGTTTGGTTCATCCCACAGCGCCAGTTCTGCTTACCAAAAATGGCCCACTTGGCACTCTGATTCGATTCTCGCAGCTTCATTAGTTCGAGCAAGCCGGAGATCTCACCCATTTAAAGTTTGAGAATAGGTTGAGGTCGTTTCGACCCCAATGCCTCTAATCATTCGCTTTACCGGATGAAACTCGTCACAGACGAGCGCCAGCTATCCTGAGGGAAACTTCGGAGGGAACCAGCTACTAGATGGTTCGATTAGTCTTTCGCCCCTATACCCAGTTCCGACGATCGATTTGCACGTCAGAATCGCTACGGACCTCCATCAGGGTTTCCCCTGACTTCGTCCTGACCAGGCATAGTTCACCATCTTTCGGGTCCCAGCGTGTACGCTCTTGGTGCGCCTCTTCTCGTAATGAGAACGAGACGCCCCGGGAGTGCGGAGCGGCCGCTTTATAGACGTGCCGCCCATCTTCCCTAAATCCGCGCTAGGCGGATCTTTACTTTCATTGCGCCTTTAGGTTTAGTTATGTCCCAATGACTCGCGCACATGCTAGACTCCTTGGTCCGTGTTTCAAGACGGGTCCTGAAATTACCCAAAGCTATAGCGTCGCAGATCGGCGTTTCAAACGAGGTCTGTCCGAGAAATCCGCACGACCAACAGTCGTCCGGGGACGGAACCGGGCGCTAGGTCCGATCGCCGTCTTAGCATCGAACGTGCTTGTCGTGGGTCGGACGCTAATTGAAGAAGTAGCGGCCTCGCGCCATCTGTATACCGTCGAGCGAGTCGGCCGGAACATCGCGGGTTCGAGCACGAATCGCCGAAACGATCGTACACGGACTCCACCGCGAGCCGTAGACCGACACCCAACGGATCGCGACGTCCTACTAGGGGAAAAGTGCACGCGTTCGACGCCGGATCGAAAAGCGAAAGGCGCGGACGACGCGCGAACGCCGTCCGTCGCGCGACCGCTCATCGCCGACGGCCGAAACGCGAATGAATTTCCCCTTTCGACCTTTCGGGTTTCTCAGGTTTACCCCTGAACGGTTTCACGTACTCTTGAACTCTCTCTTCAAAGTGCTTTTCAACTTTCCCTCACGGTACTTGTTCGCTATCGGTCTCGTGGTCATATTTAGCCTTAGATGGAGTTTACCACCCACTTAGGGCTGCACTCTCAAGCAACCCGACTCTGAGGAGAGATCCTCCCGCGATCGGCAGCGGCCACTACGGGCCTGGCACCCTCTATGGGCTGTGGCCCCGTTCAAGAAGGACTTGGACTCGCCGCGCGACCTCGGGATAAACGGATCCTCCCTAACACCACATTTCCCGGCGCCCGATATCGACCGCGGGATTCGGTGCTGGGCTTTTCCCTGTTCGCTCGCAGCTACTGAGGGAATCCTAGTTAGTTTCTTTTCCTCCGCTTAGTAATATGCTTAAATTCAGCGGGTAGTCTCACCTGCTCTGAGGTCGGTTAACAATATACAACACAACACCACACACAGATATATATGTCACACGCGATCGCTAATACTAAATCGTATAGCTGCTGCTGCTATACTACTACTAGTCGAAAGCGTTCTCTAGTGTTTAGCGCGTATATGCGATCAGACGTCGTTATCTCGAAAAAAATAATTTCTCTCTCGGACACGACGATCGCAGCGCAAGTTCGAAACGCGTAACGACTACAGCATATATACATATATATATATATATATATATATATATATGTAGTGCTATTACGATTTTTATCCGTACAGCGCGCGTGTTCGTTCTATGTGTGAGTTTACGATTCGTTCGTATGACGAACGAATCGTCGCTTTCGCGTTTTGAGATGCCGCGACGACGACAAAGACGACGACGTTTACGATATTACATAAATAAATATATAATAACTAGCGTCGTCGCGTCGTACCGCCGCGTCTACATCCAACACGCTCCGACGTTTCATTCTCCTCTCTCATGTCGTCGTCGTCGTCGTCGTCTCTCGGATAAAGAGATAATACGACGACGCGAACAGAGATCGGAGAGGAAACCGAGCAGTCTTTTAAATTGATACGACCCTCAGCCAGGAGTGGTCCGGGAACAGTATCCGAGGACCGCAATGTGCGTTCGAAATGTCGATGTTCATGTGTCCTGCAGTTCACAAGTTGACGCGCAATTAGCTGCGTTCTTCATCGACCCACGAGCCAAGTGATTCACCGTTCAGGGTAATCGTTTTTTAATTAGACGATCTCTATATATATAAAATATATATCGATACGTCTTTATTGTTATGATAATGGCTAATGTTATTAAAGAAAATATATAAAAAAAAGAAAGCGCGCATTTCTCACGGAGACTTCGTGTATTTTGCGCGGCAAACGCGCAAAATTATTTTTGCGCGTTTATAAC